CCCAGCCCCTGGCCTGGCTGGGCCCAGCACACGTTCCTGGGACTCACGGAGGCGCTTTCAGGGGCAGGGCAGGCAGGCGCCACACGTCTCCTGGCCCGAGGCTCTTCCAGGAAGGGCCCTGGGGCCCCAGTCTGGCGGGGCTCCCAGAACCACCCGGCCTGGCAGGGCAGGAAGGGGGCCAGCTGGGGCAGTGGCCAGAGGCGGGGGCAAAAGAAGTGCCGGCTCTTTGGGCCAGGCCAGGAGCTGTCATCTGAATCCTGCCACCCCGGCAGGAAGGGGCGGCCCAGCCTCTCCAGTTCCAGCCCAGCTCCTCTCTGAGCAGAATACAGATATCCCAGACGTGCTCGGGTATGATTCCACACTGTGTAGCCCGATGCACAGGGAGCCGGGTGCTGAGCCTGTGACTCTCACAAGGAATTCAGTCCCCGTCACGGTCACCCATTTTATAGGCAACGAAAGGGAAGCACAGAGAGGGTGAGCAACTTGACGTTGGTCACACAGCTTGGCCATATTCACATGATATTTGGAGCCAGACTTCCCAGTGTAAGGCTCTCAGGGGTCCCTATTATTAACAACAGCGACGGACACTGCTTATAAGGACTAGTAACAGGGCTGTGCTACCCCAAGGGGAGCTGTCCTGCCGCCCAAACTTGTCAGCCTGCCCTCTTTGTGGTAGCCCAGGCTCCTGGGAGCCCCAGGCTGGGCTGCAGGTCACCCCAACCCTGTCTTTCTGCCAGGAACTGGGCCTTACAGGGCTTCCCGGTGGAGGGAGGCTCAAAACTGCCCCTTGGAGGACGGAAGAGGCCGTGCGGGTGTGGGAACAGCGGACGCAGGCCAGAAAGACCCCTGCCGAGACGGGAGGCCAGTGAACCATGGCATCGATGGGGGGCTGTGCCTGGAACGTGCACCGCAGGATGAGACCCACGCGCGCCCCGCTGGGGCCTGGGGTGCCGGTCCCTGTGACTCCCGCAGCCCGGACACAGCAAAGGCCACGTGTGCCGAGCCCCAGCCCCGTGCCTGGCCTGTGGCAGGGCCCAACTCCATGTGCGCCTGGCCCAGCTGCAGGAGACACACGCAAGGCCCCAGGCCCGCCTGGCTGCGGTTTTCCTGAGACCTGGTGCTGGCCCTGGTGAGGCCAAGGACAACAGGAGGTGAGCTCATGGTTGCGGCAGGGCGGGCGCTCTGGGCCCCACCCGGCCCGCTCCAGACTGCCCTTCCTCTCACCCTGCACAGCTCCCTGCTGCCCTCGGCCGCGGCACTGCCCTTCTGTGGCCTGCTCTCCTGCTCCTCTCTAAGCCCTGAGGTTTCGCCACCGCCCTCTGGACCCCCCAGTCAACCCCTCGGTGGCCCCCGCCAACCTTTGTCCATCTCCCTTCCTGGCTTCCGCCGCTCCTTTCCCCTCCGCCGACCCCAGGCCCCTTTACTTTGTGTTCCTGGCCACCTCCTCCAGGAAGCCCACCGGGATTTCTCCACAGCCGTGCTCTCTGGAGAGAACAGATCTGGCTGACCCTGGCTTCGCTTCCACTGCATGGGGCTTCCCAAGCCAGCCGCTTCCCCTCCTCCGGCCTCAGTTTCCCTGTCTGGAGAACACAGGGTGCCCCTCCATGCTGGAAAGTGGGAGTGGAAAGGGTTAAGAGGCTTTGGGAGGCTGAGGTGAGCAGCAGCGGAGATTCTCCTGATTCTGGCGTTTTTGATTTTGTTCCAGGCTGTCCCCACTGGCGGCAGCCGCTTGGATGGTGCGGCACAGCTCGAGGAACACAAGGCCCGTGGCTCCTGAGACCTCGGCCCAGTGGCGCCGCCCTCTGGAGGGGGGTAGACACCCCCAACTACGCATGCGCCCCTTTGTGTACTTGGGGCCCTGGGCGAGCAATCGTGCGGCCACAGCCACTGACGGGAGGACCCCGGGGAGGGGGACACTCACAGATCAGGGGAGCCACTTACAAGCTATCAAGGTGGGGGGCCAGGAGCAACCCCTTCGGGTAGGGGAGGGGGCTGAGGATCTCTGTGCTCGCCGGTCCCTTCTCACTTCCCAGGAATGGCAGCCATCAACAATGCCACTCCTTCCGCTGTGCAAGGGGGAAACTGAGGCACAGAGCCACCTCGTTGGCCCCAGACTCCCCGCTGCCAACGCACTAGGGGTGCAGCCCCTGACTTCTTTAGTGCCCAGTGCTCTGCCACTGAGCCACACGGCAGCCCCCAGACCCCAGCACTAACTAGGGGTGCAACAGGACCCTTCGCACTGAGCAACATTCTCAACCCCTTTTTGTCTTTATTTGGAGGCAGCGTCTCACGAAGTCGCTAAGTTCCCCAAGCCGGGCTAGAAACTGCTATCCTTCTTCCTCAGCCTCCCGGAACGCTGGGTTGATGGGCGTGGGCCACCACACTTGGCGCTGACTGGGCCCACAGCTAGTGAGGAGGGCGCCCCCGACACCGCAGGGCACTCACAGCAGGCGCTCATTGCGCGGGGGGCGGGGGACCCCAGCCCCGCAGTGTCCTCTCAGCCGGGCGCGGCCTGGAGCCCTGGAGCGCAGAGCAGCGCCGTCTGTTTACCTTGCGGCGG